TAGAAAAGGGGCGAAGTGGAGATGAGACGAAGTGGGGATGGGGCGAATTGGGGATGGGGTGAAGTGGGGATGGGGCGAAGTAGGGATGAGGCAAAGTGGGGATGGGGCAAAGTTGTTGGGGTGATGAAGTGGTTAGGAGTGACGTGGAAATGGGGCAAAGTGATTGTAAAGCGTCAAATCCATAACATGTATACATGTCCCTCTATATCTCAACTAGCCTGCATGTGACTTGCCTACTTCCTGAACAGTAAGGCACTACTACGTAGACCCGAGTCCTAATGTTTGATGGTTCATTCCGTACCCATAATAGGTAACCTACATGTACGTGTATATGAAACTACTAGGCACATGTGTATTTTGTAGTGTGTAACTTAGGCCTACATTATTATTGGCAAAATAATTATCCCTAGACAATCACACACACCTGCATTCTCTGGTCATAGATCATGTTACAAAAACAGGCGCAGTGTAAGGAACGTTTACATTGCTTCAGATACTAGACCAAATACGGTACTTCCGACTACTCTTGTAAGATATGTACAGAGACATCAGAGAAATCTGAGGTCAGGGAACCACACTAACTCATTTTAACCATTTTTGGAACTTAGCATACAGATCATTGAGGGATGAGAGGTCAGAATGGTAGGAAAAAGCTCCTTATTTGGCAATAATAAAGGTCACACCCTACAAAATACACACATGCCTGACATAGGGGAGGCCTACCTATTATTAGGGGTTTTAACGGAAGATTTGATTAAGAAAGGTTTTCTCTGAGGGAGACTTTTCTAATTGGCGTATGGAACCATCAGGACTGAGTAAGGCCTACAGAGTAGCCAAGTGCCTTACTGTTCGGGAAGCAGGCCCTACAATACTCAGCGTAACTTGGACCCTACAAATCGCTTTTTCACATTTGGACATGATCGGGCGATAGTAGGGTCCAAGTACCTTCCACCATGCTTCCACAGGCTTTTGCTTCCATCTCCCCAACGCAAAAATTATTTTCAAGATGTATTTTTGCGTTGGGGAGATGTTAAAAATACATCTTGAAAAAATAGTTCGCGGTACCCGCTGC